TTCTTCTTCTTCTTCTTCTTCTTCTTCTTCTTCTTCTTCTTCTTCTTCTTCTTCTTCTTCTTCTTCTTCTTCTTCTTCTTCTTCTTCTATGACAATGAAAATGTCAAGGAAACCTACAGATAATATGGTATTGTGTGCATATCACGAATGGCAAGTGGAAAATAAATACAGGGGATATTCTGTGCTATGGCACTCAACATATTAGTATTTCTGCTGACATGAAAGATGTATCTGTTTACTTGGTCATTTTTAAAAATCACGATCACTGCCAAACATTCCTAGAGAGAGTGGCCTACTGCCATGAGAGAGATTTTGTGTTAAATGTTTTTTTTTGTTTTTTTTTTAAACTTGGATGCTATTGTGATCTTACTGCAAACTGGTTTAAGACTTCCTATGAAAATTGGACCATAAATCCTTTAATTCACAAAAATTATATTTGCTATTTGAAATATCTGTATTAACTGTATGCTGGACAGAGAACACCTGGATTGTTTATGTTAGAGCAGGAAAAATGGGAGTGCTCAACTCTTTCATTTTTTAAAAAATAGCATCGTAGCAAGATGTAAATAAAACTTCAACAAAGAATCAGATCTAAACATCAAATCCTTCTGAGGAAAGTGGTCATAGATCTCCTTGGCAGATCTTATTACACTTACATATGGCTGCCATTCTGGTGAAGCACTAACCTTCCATCTAAAAGCTGTCATGCACAAAATCTATGTAAATTACAAATTTAAAATCTATCTGCATTACAGATCAATGATTACATCATAAAAATAAGATCCACAGTATTGACCACACAAACTAAGCAACCCATTTTTTTCCTCGTCTTAAGTTAATATGTGAAGAAGACAATATAAAAGTAAGAAACAAATAATTATTTATGAGAAAAGGTACTTAGAAGACTTTATACTCAGCATGTCTATCATCTGGAGTTCAGATCTGAATTTGTGAATGTTAAAACTCTGCATAAAACCTTGCTGAATGCTCAGGAGGACAAACTCAAATTTTGATTTAATAAAGAACAACAAAATGTTTATGCATCTGGAAATTCAGGGAAAAAAGTCATTATATTGCACAAGACATTTGAATAAGAATAATTAGATATGAATTAAAAAGAGGCAAAGACAGAAGAAATAAAGCATACAGGTTTAGAATGCAGATCTTCAATAAACAGCGTTAAGGTCTTCTATGCTTGAGTTCCACAATAGCTAATTAAGTTTTCAGAATAATACTAATATTTAATTTTATTTATTTAATAACATTAATACATAATATAAATAATATTTTCATGATGGAATTCCAGGTAATATCTCTTATCCACCTATTAACCAGAACCAGGCAGTCTTGGAATTAGCTAGGTGGCTATATCATGTGTCTTTAGAACCTTGTTAATCCATATCCATAAGATACATGTGAACAATATGGAAATGACTTAACTTTCCTACAGATTACTTCTGTTTCAAATGTGTCCCAACAGTTCAGAATTTCATTACATCTATGAAAGAACAAGCAAGTTGCAAGTTGGGCAGCATTTTTAATATGTAATATCAGAAATATTGAAAAAAAAAATCTCATTCTCTCGTATTTCAAGATTCTGCTTTACTGCAAACTGGAATATTCACAAGCTCCTCCTTTACTTGCACCATAATAGTCAACAGGAGAGTAGTGTTATTCAGTTTAATTTCATCTCTTATGGCACCCTTCGGGTATATTGTCTAGTTTTAAGTTAATGAAACCTCACTTGAACAGGTAACCGCAATAGCATTTAATGAAATTTGTGATACAGTATATTAGGAGAAATGTACTATCAGCATATGTCTGCTGCCATGCAACTTGGAAACAAGCCAATAAAGATATCTTCAAAAATTTTGAAAGTTTGCAAGTCACAGAATGTGGATTATAAACATTTAATTAATTTTCCCATGTTGCTGTGCAAGTTTTAAAAAGTTAAACCAGCATTACAGAAAGTAAGATACTGCAACTAATTATATAACAACAGGGACACTGGAAGATAATAACATTAGAGTCAGCCTAAATAAGTCAACTCAACTCAGTAATTATTCTAGCGTCTGTTGTTTATGACAGAGGACAAGGTTAGTGATGTGCCAAAAACATGTTTTTTTCACTTTGATAGAAGACAAATATATATTTTTGTCAATAGAAAAGTACATTTCTATGAAATTCTCATGGGAGCTATGTAGGGTTCTTCTTGCTCTTACCTGAAGTATGAGATGCCAAGTGTGTTTATATGAGTACCCTATTCTCTGTACATTTATCTCTCTAGTGATCCACAGTCTCCTTGGCTTCCCACCCTCCAAACAAACATTTCCTATGGGTCTTTTTTTTTCAAAAGCATGAGCAGTCATGGAGTCTGTAGCATGATGGAGAATAAGTAATAGGGAGAACACCACCAACCTATTCTACCATCTTGCAACCATAAAATAGATAGGATACTGCTATAAGAAATCCAAAAGAAAAACTTTTAAAATGAATCATAGAAGCCCATTGTGAAGAAATCTTTCAGAAGGACATATTTTGGCATAGTATTAAGCAACAGGAAAAAAGTAAATATTGTACCAGATTATAGGCTAGGCTTCTGCAATCTGGTAACCTTCAGAAGTATGAGCTACAATGTTAAAATTCAAGACTGGTAACCCTACCACTACACTGAAGGCAACAGGCTGGTTTAAAATTACAGAAGACTCTTAAGAAAAGAGAACGGCCAACTGGCCAAGAAACAACTACAGCAATTCCATCATTGTCTCTCTTAACGGGCAAGGACGTAGTTCTCCCTTTTTCTCTGCTTTCAGAAATGACACAAAGCTGCATGTTTCCAATCTAGTTTTTCTGAAATTGTAGTCGCATATCATAATGTAGTAAGTGTTATGTTTGTAACTATTGTATTATATCATTTGTTTTATTTGTAATTAATTTTAGCAAATTGTTACCTATCTTGATGGCTATTTCTGAGTGGAAGATTATCTATAAAACCAATTAAAAAGTACTTCTGGCAATGAGACAACCATTTTTTGCTTGCCTTTCATATGAGAAAGGCAAAGATGAAAGATGAACGTATCAAAGGTGGGGAAAGCGGCAAATTTAATTCAGTAGCACAAACTTGGTTGAAAACACAAAGATTAAAATATATTCTCTGACAAGCTCAATACTCAAAGGCTTCTTCCTGGATGAATGGAAGGATGTGTCAGTTTTGCTCTCTTTCACATTGTAATGTTTTAAATCTTTGGGGGGGGGTATGAAAAATTTGGATGAATTTTGTCAAGTTCCTTAAAAAATATGAGTAACGTTTTCCTCATTCATAGCCATGAATTCATTCAGATGGGTATCAACAATCAGTTATTTACTATACAAGAAAGAAAATATTATGTTCCATTTAAAATCTTTTATCTGGGTCAATTTCATCAAATAATCAAGAGGCCATCTTGGAAATGAATGCATTGTGATCTTTAAGCTTTCTTTCTAGCGAATGAGCCATCATGGAGGGAATGGAGATGGAAGCTTTTCTATATACCTTTTTGTAATCCTTAGGCTCCTTTCCCTGCCCTAAAATATTCAAAATGTTATATGCCTTTTATTACAGCAGGGCTGAGCCATTTCCATTCTAAATTGAAAATGCCAAATTGCTTTAGCCTATGAAAGCCATTCTATGCTCAGATAATTTTAACTATGGTCTTTTGTTCATTTTCCAATTCTACTATAACCATTTTTCTTACTTCACCACCGATTTACACTGCACTGGTATAATTTTTCTGTAATATAGGTCAGGTGTAATGTGGAAAGAAAAGATGAATTCTTATTCTCCAAAGTACTACTTTTTGAGCAAAGATTTTAGAGTTTCTATCACTGACTTTTTCTTCAGCCTTCTTCAGCTCACTAATCCCAAATCAAAAGTCATGTAAATGATTAACATTAAGCAAGTATGTATCATTATAATAACTGTTTTATTAAGAGTATCAGAAACCTATTGTAGATATGTGCATTAATCAGAGATCCTCAGACACTATAATGAACAATAGGATCCCTATTAAGTATGAAAATCTTCAAAGCAGGAGGCCAATCTAGATTCTAAACTGAAGAACTGGCAAAAGAAAGTGTATATATATAGATTTTCCCAAAAGAGGTTTATTCCCAACTCAATGATTCATATCTGCAAAGCTATATGGTATATCTATATAGTAGAGTGAGGCTGATAGAGAATGAGTTGTATCCTAATTTATGAATGACAAAGCTAAAAGGGCATATTGGTCAATTTTATAGATTTGAAATTGTTCTTGAGATTAAGAACTTCTCAAGAATACTATTCTGGGTCACAAACACAAAGGACAGTTTACTTCTCTATTTCAAGTTCTCCTGGGTTGGAATTCAAATTGGAAACACAATTTGAAGGCAACCATAAACCTTCATTACACATTAAATTTACTGAATGCCTCATAGAGGCTTCTGTGTGGTATATATAGTGTGAGGTTTGGAGCTGTGCATTCTGCAGTTTACATGTTAAACTTATGACTAAAAAGGAAGATACACAAAACTTAAACTTTATTTCCATCCCATTATATGCCATTAAACTAGCACTGAACTTTTGTCTTTTTTTAAATAAGAAAGTTTAGCTCACCTACTGACTTTCATTAGTGATGTACTAATTTATAAAGGAACTCCCAGGGAGAGACAACCACTGGTACATCTCCTATCTTCTAGCAGATCATAAACTATTACTCATAATGTAGCCAATTTTTGCCTTGCTACCATGAGAGCGAGGTACCAAATATTGGCCCACAAAACTACATTTCTTTGATACCTTCAATTTTTTATCCTCTTCCTGTCCTTTCCATCTCTTTTTAATTCTTTTAACTTCCTGTAATTGTGTTTTTAATGATGTTATATAGAACTTCATGTATATATGTGCATATGTACACACGCTGGTCAAAGATTGCAATACAGTTTACCTATATACCTTTCATTAATATTCATAATATATTTCTGAATGAACAATAAAAAAAATTAAAATACATTTCCACAGTTACCATTCTTCTTTGTCTGCATCACAGTTACAAAAGTATCTCAGATCTATGCAGCTTTCTTCTAGACCACATGCACATTGTTGGATTCCTGGAAGAGATCCTCCCCAGTAAGGATGTTTTTCGTTGGCACGACCAACCCACCAAACAAATGGAATTCCATCTGGAGAAACAAAGAGAGGAGATGTGTCATGGGAAATGTAAAAGAAGCAGACAGTTCAAGGAACAGAAGTTGGAAAACTTTGTTCTTTCATCTTCTATGTCCTTACTGCTAGTAAAATTATAGGAAAGCAAATGGTGACCTTGGATTTATCCCCAAAAGTTTCTGTAGTGTAGAGCTGGTGAGCATATGTAACTTGCAAATAATAACTACTTAGGGATTATCATTTCTTGTAACAGTATATTAAATGTCCCACAATCAGACAGGTAAGATGTAAGCAGGTTGTTCATAAAATGGTATTTGCAGGCATCTATACTTCTTGCTGTATGGGACTGGTGTCCATTCTCTGTTTTTTCTCATGTGTGTGTGTGTGATTAACTTATCTTTACAAATGAATAAATAAGAAAGATGCCCAAGGAGACAGGAAAAATCAGCTATAAATAAAACACACATACCGAAACTGGGGCAGGGGGGAAGAGATTTTTGTAGTTTAATGTTTGATTAGCTTTCCCATAATTAGCCTGTTGATGTTTTAATTAGCTTGTTGATGTTTCTCTCCATGACACACCAAAAATGTTTTGGACATCTTATAAAATTTACCAAAAACAGACTTAAAGGATGGAGGGTACATAAAGACAAAGGATAAACATTTCCGAAGGTGAACATGTTCTTGGGTTCTTGGTGCTCTCTGAACTTCGTTTTCATCTTGAAGTCATTTCATTACCATGCAAGCTAACATCATCAGTGTGTTGATACAAAGTGAGGTTCAGTGGCTGTTCATATATTCATATATGTTCAAGGCTTGCCCTACCAGCCTTGTATTGTGTTGGTATTGCTTCTTCTTGATTGTTTTGACTTGGCTGCTGCTTCCTGTTTATCTGGGTGTTGGTAATGAGCATGTGATATGGGAGGATGTGCTCGGGACTGTTTCTTTTGGTCTTTAGCCATTTACTTATCAAAGTAATTAATATTTTGAATGGTTTATAAATGCAATTAATTTCTATATGTCTGCTGATGGCTAATTTGTCAGTGTGTGAAGCTTCTAGGAACTGTCTTGCATTCTTAGATCTGACTTGATCTAAAATAACTACAGTTCCCAAGCTGAAATTGTGGATGAACTTGTCTATGTGCTGTGAAATGAAAGAATGTTCATCATGTATTCTGACTGCCAGTTTGATCTTTGTAGATGCATTCCTTTTCATGCATCCATTGTGTTGGAAAATGTTATATTGATAGCCTGTTTCTGTTCAAAACCACAATGCAGTAACCCAGAACTCCAGAAAGCAGAACTATCAAAGTACATTTTAGCTTTACATTTTTGAATTTGGGGATGTAGTCAACTGTTATTCAAAGTAATTAATATTTTGTGCACGCTGGACTATTTTCTACTTAAATATTATGTATGTTCAGGATGCAAATAAAAAACCTTGAAATGTAGGAACAGGTTAATTATGAAGTACGGAGAACTAATTAAGAAAAGCTTTTAAAGAACTGTTCAAAGACAGTTTATGTTGCCCTACTGGTTTCCTTCTAATCTTAGACTTATAATGTGAATTCTTGTAAAAAAGAAAAACAACAAAACTTCTTATTCATGCTTACTCAGAAATAAATTTCTTTAATGTTGTGGACTTAGAGACAAGCAGATTTAGGTGGAACAGCACCATTTTGAGGGTATAATAAATGGAAAGATATGGGTTTTATCCAAAGCCCAGTTGTGCTCATTATAAAAACAAAAAGGACACTATGATTTCCCCAGGCATGCAGCCTCTGATTCTGCATTTTTTCCTTAATTTGTGATATGTATTGGAATGTTCAGGCATATTATTAAGAACATAATATCAACATTATTATTTTTAGCTGAAATGCTGAAATAGTACTTTTCTGTAAGAACAATAAGTTGCAGTCATGAATAAGATTTCCTTAAAGAGAAGGGGTTCCTACTCTGTCCAGGTAGCATGAAACCTCCTCCAAAATGTGTGTCTTGAAAGTTGTAAGTATAATCTGGGATTTGTTGGAATATATCCCATATGGTATAAATCTCCAGGGCAATCAAAACTGACAAATGTCTCTGTTATTCCATCACACCCTTGTTCCTGGATATTTGAAGACAAAACAAATAGCTTGGGATTCTGACCCATTGCTAGCTTGTAAGGAATAATTCACATGATCCTCAGACTAGTCCAACATACAAACCACCTGCTTTGCATCAGAACCCTTCCTCTCATGTTACACTGGAATAATTCCTCCTCCTACTTTGTTACTCTGATCTAAAAAAGCTAAGCAATGTTGTACCTAGTTTATATTTAGATAAGAAACCACACTGCCTCATGCACTCATATTTCTACTATTTCCTTATACTGTCAAAGTGCCTTGTTTGGTGCTCCATACACTTTCAACACTTTCTTCATTATTTGAATATTACTCTATTTCATTTCATCATTCCATCATCTTTATACTTTAAGCCAACAACTGTCAACTTCAATTGAAAGATGCTCTTATTCTAATTCTGACTTTTTTTTTTTTTTTAAGACAACATATTTAATGATTTTTATCTCTGGCATGCTGCCTCTCCCCTGTTTAGGTAAATTTTGGGTCAGAGATCTCAACAAGTTCCATTCCAGCATATAAACTGCCATATACATACTGATGAAAACACATGGTAGCATTTCATGAATACATTATACATATGGAAAGGGAATATCAATGAACAACTGTCTTGGCCCCAAGGTGATAAGGCTGATTTACCCCTTCCTTTAATATTAGACTAAAATCCTAATTATTTAAATAATCAGGATTCTTGGTCTATGCATGTAGATATTCTCACCACCTCTCCATATATCACTTTTTAATCTATGGTAATGAAAGTCTGGTTGAAGCAAATGGTAATCCCTTAGTTGTGTTCATGCAACTTGCTTAACTAGAATCAGCTAAGGAACTAGCAGATGCATTAGCACAATCTGTAAAGCCTGTAAAGCCATCAGCTTTGGCTAGTTTGGCTTGTTTGTATTTTGTTTAATGTGGATTTGCATGTTGTGCAAACCCAGCTCATTTGATCAGTCTATAGTAAAATAAATGAAGAAATAAACCCTCATGTTTCTTATCCAAGGGCTTGCTATTCTTTTAGGGACATTTGTAGGCACACACAAGTGTATTTAGTATTAGCAATCTAATTTCAATGACAATTTAAATAGATATATCATAAATTATTATCTAATTAAAATGTGCTAATTTAGGATAAGATGCTATTTAGCTTTAAAATGCAACTTTGTGTGGCTATCAGGAAAATAATGGTAAGCATTAATCAATGTTGACATATTATTGTCTCTTGAATAAGATCATTATGCAACAACATAGTGATATGATAAATAAACATTGCTAGGGTCTTAAGAACATATAGTTTTATAACATCTTCTCTGTATTTGCCTATATCTATTTTATTGTACTACACTAACCAAAAGATTTATGAAAGTCTCTCAAAGTAACACACTTGCCAAAGCTTGAGTCATTTAAAACTAGACTAAATAGGGAATTTGCTAATACACTGGAGGGAACAATCTGACAAGAGATAGGGAATAGATTTCTATTGTCTAATGTATCTTTTTTAGTATCTCTTGAAGCATCTGATTCTGCCACTAAGAAATGAAATAGTAGCTTGAATGGCAGTGAGCAGAGGAATGAGGGTCATATAGACTGTCATGTAAGTTCAACAAAGAACTTTAACACATGCTTGGGAAAGAATTTAATTATGCTAATATCAGTGTGCATTTGCTTAACATTCTGTTTCAAAGCAATATAATTATGTTGCAATGCTTTAAAAAAACATTCTACAGTGCACATGCATCTATGCAGGCTTAACAAGGACATCTGAGGCTGAACCAAAATGAAAACTAATAAAAATAACAATATTCTTACATTGATGAAGTTATTACATATACCACGATCTTTCATATACAACAGTGGAAGTATAAAGTACATCTACAATTGTTTTCAGACTTAATCATTCAGAGTACTGACTATGGACAGTATATCTAGGTCTTACTGATTTTAATGAACGTAATTCTGGATCTGACTCAATATAGCTTAAGATGATTGCCAAATATGTAGTTATTTGGTTAAAAATGTTGCAGATTTAGTTCAAATTTATCTTGAGATTTTTCCCAGATTTTAACAGGGATTCTTAACTTCCTTATTAAAAATATAGCATTATGCCAGTATCTGGAAACATTGCCTATTAAATCTGGGGCATAAGAAAAACTGCCAGAAACCAATACAACTATTTAAATGATTTCATTTTTTATTTCTGAAACATGTTCCCCTTCCTTTACTCACAGGCACATGTCTCTTTCTCTCTCTCCACTTACTTTTTCCCTTAATTTCCCTTAAGATCTCCCTGCAGACCTTAAAAGCAGAAAAAAGATATATTTCCATGCCCTTCTTATATATCCAGATCCCTTAAGAAATAAGAAGACCCTTGACAAGCCAGTGACCTACAGTTTACAGTGATTTTTCCAGAGTCATCCAGAAGACTTTGTGGCTATGTTGAGGCTTGGTATTCCTAATATTTTAATAATATCCACTATTTTAACACTGCATCCTACTATAGAGTGGCTTTTATAAATGCTTATGGGAAGATAGCCAGCAGAATATGAAGGCTATAGGCATTTTCTGCTTAGGTTTCCAACTACTGCTATCCTATTGTAATACAAATGAAATTCAAGTAACACTAACATTCAATTAATATAAGTAATTCTGATACAGATGAAACTCAAGTAATACTCAGGATGCTTGCTACAATTTCTGAGATGGAGGAACAATAATTGAACAATGATTAATCCCCCAATTTTAAAAATATAAAACCCAGTTATTATTCAGAACTCTCTCTATTTTTCAATAAAATGTAAGGAATTGACTGGTAGAAAAGAGAATTAGAGAGAAATGAGAGTTTTTATAGTGGTATAACAGAAAATAATTTCAGATAGTATCCTAGATGAAAAGTAAAACTC